GATTTTGGTCGTTCCCAACTCGACACTAGGAACCTCAGTATGGTGGCGGCGGAGGCGGCCAGAAAACACTTTGAAAAGCGGGACCCTCTGTATTTTGCTCTCTGAAATGTTAATCCATCCAGATGAAAATGGGATGAAAATGGGGAACCAAGAAAAATCGCAGAGTTTCTCATGGGTTTTTTTACCATGTGAAAAGCAACAACATGGGGTATCTGCAGTAGCTGAGGCGTTGGGATCTTATGGATGTTGTCAGCCTGTCCTGGAATGGTGAGTTGAACCCCCAGGTCGAAGCCTTGGACCCGTGAGGAGCTGGTGAAGAGCTCAGAATTTAGAGATTAAATCATGATTTATAGTGATGATCTGTACTGATTTATAATGTTTTATAGTGATTAATAGGGTTTACAATGATTACTGCAAATAGTGATTTATAGATTGATTATGATTGTACATGGCTATAGATTGTTGATTTATGGAATTTACTACCTGTACGGTATGGATTACGGATGGTTTGGGAATCAAATTTGGATGATTGAAGTGTTTGTGTTTCCATGCTTCCCAGTGATTGGAAAGGATCTCTGGCCGGAAGTTCGGCTCAGGACAGCGTCATGACACAGGGCAAGCGGAAATGGCAGGACGTGGACCGCAGCGATTTAGCTGAGGCCGGTTGGGGGGTGCAACAGCTGGTGGGATACCCCCATGGATGGGGGAGTTAAGGCTAAGGTCACCCATAAGAGAAAATTGACACCCAAACTCAGTTTTTTTTTCCCGTTTCACTTTCCGTATGAGGAAGCAAGATTGTTCCAAACATCTTTTCGACGGGTTTGGTTCAAACGGCTCACAACATGCAAGCTGTAGCAGCAGTCCGATCTCTCGGATTCGCTGTCTCGTCTTTCTCCCTCTATCACCGAGGAAACCATGGAAATGTAATGAACATGCATTGGGACCTCGAAAACTGCAGACCTGTGAGGTGAGCCAGCGACAGTGCGACACCCCTGTGCCGCGGAAAGTCGAGGTGGACGTAGGGCTCTTTTTGGGAGGCTTCCAAGGCATGAAAGGTGGTTTAGTATCCATTTCCCTGGGGGGTTTCGCATATTTTTTGTTTTGGAGCAGATGGGATTTCACCATATTTCTCATATGTTTTTTTTTTTAATCCACCATATTTTCGGATGATGATCCCCAATGACTACTGTAATGACTGATATTGTTCAGTGGGGTTGAAACTATCAACCAGTCTCCATCTGATGTGCGATTTCAGATCACCACAAAGTGTCAGTTGAATGAGTTCGATGCAGAATGTGACAGAATGTGACAGAATGTGACAGAATGTGACAGAATGTGACAGAATGTGACAGAATGTGACAGAATGTGACAGAATGTGACAGAATGTGACATGATCCATGTGGATCTCTGTTCTCTCTTTATATATATAAAATATAATATATTTAATATATATATATAATATTTAATATATATTATTATAATATAATATATATATATGTATATATATATATATATATTGAACTATGATCAACTAGCAGAAACTTAAAGGGACACTTGGAATACTCTTTCACCATATATGATTCATATGATAGTCAACGAGTGAAGATTTTCTCCGTTTGAAGCTTGGAACTTCTCCAGTGGTCTCCAGCTTCCCTGGCAGGTGCCCGATCTAACGGCTCTGACGGCTGGGATGCGGCCGAAAATTTCGGGTCGGTTCGGGGGAGAAGGACAGCATGGGAAAAAATGGAAAGAATGAAAAACATGGAGAAGAGATGAAAGAGATGAAAGAGATGAAAGAGATGAAAGAGATGAAAGAGATGAAAAGAGCTTTTGTTTCCAATGATCATTAGCTCACATGGATTCACATTCTTCACGGAACTCATTTTCAGTATTTTCCAACAGTTTTGTCCGAAATCGGTCCTTTTCCTGGTGGTTTCATGATGTTTCATGGTGATGGCCCCAGCCATCTCCAACGTCAACGGCGTCAACGGTGTGAAGACACGTACAGCCGCTGCTGTTTTGGCCTAGAGGAACCAATAGCAGAAAGAAACTCATGCAGTGAATCCAGAATCGCTATCGACATCCACCTTGAGGACCCTACTGACATCTACTGACAGCGTCTTTTCGCCACGCCCAAATTCCTACGCTCGAGCTTCGTCAAAGCCATGGAAGCCTTGCTTCGTTGGGTCGTGCTGCTTTCTTGTTTGGGAAGTGCTAAAACTTTAGAGTTGCCAAAGAACAACTCCATCGCTGATGAGCGGGCAAGGTGGCAGAGCGCCGGAAAAAAGTTTTCGTGCAGCATACACTGTAGGATATCAAAGACGAAGCAACATAGTATATAACTCTATGGATGTTTTATAAATTATGTCAAACTCACATACAATTTGATTATGTTTGAGCCAATACAATTGCCATACCCATTTTAGCATTGGTCAAACCGCCACTTTAGAGGAAGGAGACGCTAGAAAGATGAAGCACTGTTGGTTGGTGCAAGTTGTGAAACCACTAGAGATGCCCTTAATGACTTAATGGTATCAACAGTTGATAGGTGCTTTATCAGATGATTTCTAGGAAGGTTTTAACATGTTTCAACCATCCGTTTGGTGGTGCAGGATATCGCAACCATCATCTTCCATCCACAGTGCCATTTGCATCACCACGTTGTTCAGGTGGTCTTGCCGTGATTGCAACTCATCAGTGGATTGGTCTCCAGCATTGAATCAAGTGGACATCGAAACTGGCACGATGCCTTTGGCACCTTGGACGCAAAAGTTGGGCGCTATGATCCCCGTGTCGGATCATGACCCTACTTAAAAAGTGATACATGAAATGACTCATCATTTGGGACTTGTGATGAGAAACTTGAAACCGCGTGATTGACTTCTTTTTTCGGATTGCCCAATCATTTTTTGTTTTGTGATGTGTTGTCTGTGTGTGTGAGATGATCTTTCCACACACTGCGAAGCCGACCGGCGGCGTTGTGATGGAATTTCGATTGCCTAAGGACTTGCAACTAGAGATGCCTTTCTCATTGCAGGTGCCGCTGCTTTTGGATTTCTGGGTCAAAAACAAGGTCTCCAAACAGCATCAAACAGATACTCAAATGATCCAAGATGATCTAAGATCATGATCTAAGATAATCCAAGATTTAGTCGGGTCTTCAGCGCTAAACAGCCCTGATTTGGAAGGGCTTTGATAAATATTTTAGCAAAATACATGGATGTTGGAGATGATCCTCCCATGGTTTTAGCCATAAATCGGGCTTCATGTAGCCCCCGAAAAGCTTCTAAAATGACCCCCGTCATCCCATGTGACTGGGCGGCCAGGTCGAGAAGGAGTTCGATGGTTCCTTCTGGACGGCGGTGTCCAGGAGCCGGGATTTGGAGTGCTTGTGGTGGTGGGGATGATGTGGCGTTTTTCGATGTTTTTTGAACAGATCTGGGTATGGATCAATACCTATTAATACCATTTTTAGGGGGATGAACATCCATTTACCAGCTATTTTGATGTTCACCAGGGGTACAAGGTTTTGACACACTGCCATCTGACTTTGGGATGTTTGTTTGTACCAGATCTGACTTTTCAAGTCAAAAGAGAGTCCGACTCAGATCAGCAAGAGAGTCAAGCGAATTCACGTCTGATTTTTGCGGACCTTGATGATGCTAATGGCCATAAAGTGGGTGTGTCAGAGGGTATGAGGCATGGGGCCAAATCATTCAGTTACAGGATATATATACAGCATATATATATATAATATATATACATACGCTACATTACACACACTTGCTCAGAACAATCATTGCGAATTCTGATGTGGAATGCATCTTACGTGCAAAAACACTCCAATTATACCTGACCTGAGAAAGTATGGAAAAGGAACCATCGCCATAGTCAATGCTAGAGGCAATAAGGGGAAGCTGACCCTTTTTCTGCAATTGACAAAAAGAATGCAGATTGCGACAACAGTGCAGTAAACTAGGAAACCCTTCAAATGATCGACATGCCGGTTCTTGGCGTAGCCGGTTGCCATTGATGAAATTGAAAATTGGTGCAGGTACGCAGATTGGCGTCCCAATCTGTATCACCAGATCAAATGGGCGTCTTCGTTGGTAGCGGTCCCAAATGATCTGGGGCTACCCCCTGCTTGAAACGCAACACACACACACACACTATATATATATATATGTAATTATACATACTGTGTATATATGATTATATATATAGTGATATATATATTTCTCCCAAAAGGAGGAGCAGTATTTCCAGGATCGCATCGATGATGTTTTGCCACTCATTTCCTGGTGTTTAACTTTCTAACAAGATATTAATCTCCATCGTGGTATCTTATTAATCATTATTAATCCATCCCCCGGAGACTAGCCTTAAACACGCCCCAGAAACCATTTAGGGAGTGTTTAATAATAGGGAGATGGGATTATCCATTCATATCCATCATTATGTTATATATATATATATGTATATACGTATATATATATAAAATCAATATTCCATTATAGTTGACAATAGTTGATTTTTTATTACCACATACATTGTGAATATCCTTTATATGGGTTAATGTAAATGAAACCAATGCATCATCTAGGAAGTCTTGGTATGCTAGCTATGCGGCTGCTGGTGCCTACTTGGCCTTCATTCTACTAGGCGGGGCCCTTAAAGGGGGCCCTTAAAGGGGGCGGGATGACTGGGCGACTGCTTGGTGCTTCACGGTTGGGATCCGTGGGTTTATAAGCAGTAGGTTAGACCATTTGTAAGGGGGGTTACGTTACATGGTTACAAACTGTTTCCTTCTTGGGATGAACTTCCAGTTAAAACTTTGTTTGCCCAAGGTTCACGGCTGCAACTCACGAGTTTGGATAGTTGGATAATCTCGGAAGCTATGATGGATAGTTAGCAACTGAGTGGCAATCGCACTGGTTACGGCTTGCATGTTCTCTAGCTACCCACCTCGGATCATCCAGCGTCCCTTAGGAAAGGAGTTCATGAGAGATCGAGAAGCCTGGGACCTCAAGAGGAGTTTGGCTTTCTGGAACCTCTTCCTTGCCGCACCTCGCCGCCGCATCTGTGTCCAGGGCGTCCAGAATGGGTGATTGTCATGGGCCGTGGATTCCTATTCTGTAGGATTTCCATGATCATGATGATGACGACGATGATGACGATGATGATGATGACAATGACAATGACGATGACGATGATGACGATGACGATGACGATGACGATGATGACGATGACGATGACGATGATGATGATGATGAAGATGATGATGATGATGATGATGATGATCAGGATGATGACGACGATGGTGATGACGACGATGCTGACGACGATGATGACGACGATGATGATGACAATGACAATGACGATGACGATGATGACGATGACAATGACAATGACGATGGCGATGATGACGATGACGATGACGATGACGATGATGACGATGACGATGACAATGACGATGATGACGATGATGATGATGATGATGATGATCAGGATGATGACGATGATGACGACGATGATGATGACAATGACAATGACGATGACGATGATGACGATGACGATGACGATGACGATGATGACGATGACGATGACGATGACGATGAGGACGATGACGATGACGATGACGATGACGATGATGATGATGTTCAGGATGATGAAGCCGATGATGACGACGATGGTGATGACGACGATGATGATGACAATGACAACGACGATGACGACGATGATGATGACATGACAATGACGATGGCGATGATGACGATGACGATGACGATGATGACGATGACGATGACAACGACGATGATGACGATGATGATGATGATGATGATGATGATGATAAGGATGATTATGATGAGGATGACTATGATGATGATGATGATGATGATGATGCTGCATGTAAATCATTGTAAATCATTGTAAATCTCAGAGCTGTAAATGTTTGTTTTACATCATATTATACAAAATTAAGTATCCATGCGCAGGAGATGTACATGGGATTACATGCGCAGCGTTGAATCTTGGTGGGACGATTGTGTCTCCGACCGGTTCTTTGAGGTTTTCTCCTTCGCCGGAGCAGTTCGCACGGTGCCGCAGCTTGTAGGTGCGGAAAAAATGGGAAATCTGTGTGGACTCTGTGAGTTGGAGCGTTTTGCGGTTGAGCGATTGCGTTTGCACATGATGGCGCGCAATATATCTCTCAACTGTCAGTGTCATGCATCTGTGCGCATCATGCGCAGTTTTTTCAGATACCTGAAATATCCTGAAATACTGAAAATCAGCACATCAGACCTTGGCCTAGTCAGTTGCTTTTTGGTGATCTCTGAAAAACCACCTCTGACAGAAGGAAGCAGTGCACTTGCGAAGGTTCGTTAAACTATTCGCTGTTGGACCCGACAATCTGTGGGCCCCCAATCCTTGAGCAATTCCCCAACACGGAACGGCTCCCCATTGTAAGTTTCTATAGATTCCAGAGTCTTTAGTTCCCCATGTCTCTTGGTCATGGCAACTCAAGTTCGCCACCCTTCAGGTGCTCTGATGGAGTATGGTTTCGCATATACCGTGTGCCGGCGGGCGGTCTTCTACTACGGTAATGGCCCGGTGCGGCACCGAGTTGGGGATGTTGGGGTGGCCACCGTCCCAAGATCCGGCATTTTGATTGATAGAATTACCCTCTGGTAAACTGTCCCATAACTGGAAAATCACCATTTTTAATTGGAAAATTCACTATTTCTATGGCCATTTTCCATAGCTATGTTAGTTTACCAGAGGGTAAACCAAAGCCTTGCAGGATTCATGTTGATGGGCTTGTGAGGCTGGCTTTTGGGTTTGCCTCTTCATTTTCTCCAAATATCTCGAGCTCATCGACACGGTTTTCCTGGTGATGCGAAAGATGCTGTACTGCAAGTCAGTGCGAGCCATGCTGGCAACTTCAGGACAATAGTATTGAATTGTTATGATTTATGATATTTATGATTCAATAGATCCACATTTACACAATCTGGTTGGATCCCCAATGATTGACTCATATTTTCTCAGGGGGTGAAATCGCCAACCACTAAAATGTTTCATCCCTCGTTGGTGGGCCATGGGGGCTGGGCCGAGGAGAAAGGTTCGCTTCCTTCACTGGTATCACCACTTTTCGGTGCTGCTCTATTGCTGGCATGCCTACACTTGGGACCCTCGGCTGTGCTTGGAACTTTTGACTATGTGGATGTGTCTGAGAATGGGGTACCGGGTGCAACCCCCAGCTATTCTAATTTGATTTGGGGGCAAGAAGGATAAACATGGATAAACCATTGGATGGCACGGGATTTTTCAGGTACCTAAAGCCATGTGTCAGGTGTCAGGTTGGTGATGACCTGGTGGTCACTTACGGTCACGTTACTAGGAGATGCCAACGGGACTTTACTTCGCGGCCATGAATTATACCGTCCATGCAGTGATGTACTTCTACTATTTCCTGAGCGGCCGCCCGGCACATGGGTCCACCAGCTGGGATGGTGGGGCTTACGACTTCCAATAGAAGGGCGTAGAGGGGCCCATGGGTGCATTTGCACAGATATGGGTATGGGTCAATACCTATTAATATCATTTTTAGTGGGATGAACATCCATTTGCCAGCTATTTTGATGTTCACCAGGGGTACAAGGTTTTGACACACTGCCATATGTACTGTAAGTAGATCAAAAATGCAGGAGGGCCCTAGACTCGTTTTTGCTGTGGAAACCTGACCATGAAATCACGAAGCCTGGCGGTAGGAAACTGGAGAAAAGTACCCCATTCGTGTGGAGTTTCACTTAACCCCTTCCCCATCCTTCCCCCTTCCGCCCTCTGGGCTCGGTTTCGCATCATCTCTACATGACTTTTCGCTATGTCATATCATCTCGTCTCCTATGATATCAACCGATTTGATATTGTATTGATTTTCCATCGCATCTTGCCTCGTCTCATTTCATCTCATCTCATCATTTCTCATTTCATCTCATCTCATCACATCTCTTCCCATCGTGTCTCGTCATGTCTCATCTCAGTTCACCTCGTCTTATCTCATCTCGAGTCATCTCATCCGATCATTTCTCATCATGTGGCATCAGGCCTCATCATGTCTCATCATGTCTCAGTATGTTTTATCATGTCTCATCATGTCTCATTAATTAATGTTGACCTCTGATTTATAAACGTGCGCCCCCCTCTTTGCCCCTAAATAAACTTAAAGCGACCATCAAACTTGTTTATATGTATTGGTTTTCAATTACCACAATTTAAGATGATAATATAAAGTGCAATTTCCAAAAAAAAGAATCCAGCAATTGTGTTAGTATTGATTTAGTATTCATTTCATGGATTTAGTATTGATTTAGTATTCATGTCATGGATTTAGTATTGATTTAGTATTCATTTCATGGATTTAGTATTGATTTAGTATTCATTTCATGGATTTAGTATTGATTTAGTATTGATTTAGTATTCATTTCTTGATTAGCGGGAGGGGGAAGCTCAGTAGCTTTATTCAGGGTCAAACTCTATTTAGTGCTAAGGCACCTTATGGGGGGGACCCTTGACGAGTTGATTTGGGATTGATTTTGGATAGGTTTTATATAAAGGATTTGAATAGAAGGAGCATCCATTATTTTTGAAAATTTGAAGCCATCAAGGTAAGATCGCCACCTCAAATAAAGCATGGACAATTTTTTTCAGCCCCATCTGGGCAAATCTGGGTTTAGGGCCAAAAAAGATTAGCTTTATTTAGGGGTCATTTATTATTTAGTTTGGGAGTTTGGTTAGCTTTATTCAGGGTTAGTTTAAAAATCGTAGGTGAACATACGTCTCATCACGTTTAGTTTAATCATGTTTCATCATGTCTCAACATCTCATCAGGTCTCACCATGTCTCACCATGTTTCATGATGTCTCATTCAGTCTCATCCGGTCTCATCAGGGCTCGTCATGCGTCATCATGTCTCGTCATGTCTCGTCATGTCTCCTCATTTCTCATCATATCCCTTCTCAATGTATCTCATGTAATCGTATCTCATTAATTCTCATTATATATAATCACATCTCCTCCTGATTTATCACTATAAAATTGTCAACACCAACCCTTTCACTTAATACAAAGGGGGATTACAATCACATCTCATCATATCTCATCTCGATCGCATCCCATCCCATCACCCCCCTCCCGGGCCCTGAGTGGTGGAAGACTTGGGGCTACCCAACGATTTAATTCACCATTCACAGTTCACGTGTATAATCACACAATGTTCATACATATCATAATTTAATTAGTTAATGTTTTACATTAGGGTTACCTCTACCGCAAGCACTGCCATCTCTCCAACTCATACACGAATACTCCATGCATAGCTTATGATCCTTATTTTCCTCATGTTATGACCCAAACGCAAGTCATATTGATAGATATACAATACATGGGTAAAACAGGTTAAACTGGTACATGATCATAAACTCATCCCATGTACATCCATTTACCATGTACTCGTACTTTTAATCTGCTGATAAGTGATGATAAATGGGCATATTCCAAAGTACGTCAAACCCAGCTTTTTTCCCCCAGACGTGGCCTTAACATTTGAAACAAAAAACTGCACCCCACATGAGCAGAGTCAATACTCAACCAGGGTTCTTTTCTTTTACTGGAAAAGATCATTCGCAGAATTGGATGCAGGGAACATTTACACTACAGGAAAAGGAAATTCTTCTACTGGTAAAACATGGTAAAACAATAAAATCCTATGGTTTCCCCAAGGTTCCTATGGATCCATTGATCCACTACACCGGATCGAGGTGTCTTAGAGAAGCCGCCCGACTGGGCTCTCCTGGTGTTTCTTGGCACCGAAAGATGTGATCTCGTCCGGATCTTGGTAAACAACATGCGGATTTATCATAATTTTGTCGAAACAAATGATGGAGTTAACATATCTTAACAACATGTTTTCGCAAAACAATAGTGGAACTATCTGATTTTTTTTCCGCATAAAAGGGTGGAATTACTGCACATTTGCTTGTTGTTCTTTGCAAAGGATGGGCGGAGTTGCATTTTTTCACAAAAAACATAGGTGGGTTTACAACTTTTTTTTTGAAGCACATGGTTTCATTTGTCAGGATTTTGTATGGATCTGGAACTATGAGCACTGTGAGGGGTAATTTTGAGCCAATCCCCCATATGGGTATAGCATGCTTGAAGCTGGATTTGTTTGCCTGTACTCGAAACATGACAGATGGAAGTTACAGTATTCCAATATATCCCACTACATTTGTGGACAAGAGTGGATGTATGAACATGTGGATGCAGTTTCCAAATGGAAGTCTTGTGGCATGATGTCGAAACTCGCTGTAATTGGAAGAGTGAGAGGCTCCAGAAAGGGATGCTGCCGAAATGCGCAGATGGGTATGTCTGAAAAGGGGGGAATACCCTTAAAATACCCTTAAAATTGTAATATGATGATGATTTATCAAACTATATTTATACAGGAGGTTTCCCCCTAACTAACTTATCTGTCTCATGACAAAATTGCGGATTTAAATCCCCTCGAAGCCTGGAAATTCATCAATTATATCAATCCCCATCGTGGTAGGTACATCCATCAATATCGAATTTGGATATGATATAATCATTGGTTAGAAATTAGATATCCACCACATGTATCCACCATTTGTTGGTTGGATATCCCAACTAATCTGTTGGTTGAGTCCACTATTTCAATATCCCATGAACATTTGGATCTTCAGATAATCTTCAACATTCTTCAACTTTTTTTCCGAAAAAACTTCACGCTCATGAATTATATCGCCAAAAAAATTAGAGTCGACCTGGGAAAATCCAATGATCCCAGTGATCCCAGGACCGTCATGCAGCTCTTACAGATGGTGGTTGGAGCTTGGGCCAAACTTGCTGTGGGACGGGCGCAAATCCGAGGTTGTCTAGGTTTAATGGAAGGTTTAAGCAAGAAGCAGCCTATAAAAATGGCTGGTAGACCGCATGGTTTCCAGTAGATTTTCCCTTTAACCAAGAAATTGAGCAAAGAAAACGCCAAAGAGCGCGGTTGGTATTAGCTGACTGAATAGGTATGGAACCATATCAATGGAATGTTGATGGCATATTTATGGAATTTATATAAGTAAACGGGACAATATACATGTTAAACGGGGATGGACATGGGATATATATGATATATGAATGGAATATTTCTTTGGATCATTATAAAACAAATCTACGCATTGTACAAAATGTATTTGTATAAATGATGTTGCGATCTCACTTCGGTCGCTGAACGAAATGTTCAGGTGAATGAACATGAGTGAACTGTTTGAGATTTCCAAGCAGGTGGCATGGACCTTTTCTGAGAAAACAATGGACATCTCTATTCGCCATTTCAGGTACCTAAATTGGAGATACCTGTCATGTATAAGGCCTATGTAAGGGCTATGTAAGGGCTATGTAAGGGCTATGTAAGGGAATGCAAAGCAGTCACCCTCAGCATCCCTCAGCAATCTTGAGGCATCATTGTGACATGCTGCCATATGCACTTTATGATCAACAGGACTGTCGTGGGGGGGACATATGAGCCGCTGCACGAACCCCTGGCCAGTTTTGCATTGGTGGTATAGTATGGTATAGTTTTTTTTTAAAAATAATTGTAGCGTAAATTAAGCTAGATGATGATATTCAATTTTCCCCATTTCCTAGGTACTATACTTGCCGGTGCAGTTCCAGTTAAAAGTGGATGTAAGATAACCACAGTATAGGGGCCCCGTATCCCAACATATGGGGGTTTATGACCATGATTATACCCATGACCCTCTGGTAATCAAACGTGATGGACAATTCCCCATTTCAAGATGATTTTCCAATTTGAACCTCCATTTATAGGGGATTGTCCATAGGCAATAATCGCTGCACTCGAAAGGGTACTGTAAGAGACTTGCACCTGAGAGTTGTCTCAGGGCGGTGCTGAACTGTGATGGCCATGTGGACAACTTGAAGGCTGGACGATGTTTGCTGAGAAAATGGTTTGGGAACTAAGTTTTACATGGGATTTTGGGGCATCCAATTTTCAGACCCATACAGTTGAAATATAACCATCTGTTGGACAGTGCCAAGCGGAGAGACTGACCTGACCAGTCCAGAACCAGGTTTCCGCAGCTCGGCAGCACAATATCTCCCAGTTGTTCATCCACTTGCGCCTAAACTCATGGCTGCTGTGGCGCCCTGTGCTTACTATGGCTGCGGCTGTGGGCATCCAGGCCACATTGCCGCCTTCCAACAAAGTTGGATGGCGTATCCAACTTATGCACCTCAGCATCTTCCGGTGAAGCTTCGCTTGCACCGCCTGTTGCTGGAGCTGAAACCCCTGGAAGAAAAGTACTGGGAGGCACAGCAGCTCGTGCAGCAGATGGCCGCCCATGAAGTTGGTCTTTGGGTCCAAGCAATCCTGGAGAAGCCTCTGCCAATGCACTGGACGCACAATCTGAGCATTCACATTCTTGGAGAGCTTCTTCA